ATCCTATTGTAAACAATATAAAAACATCATTCAGTCATCATCATCCTATTGTAAACAATATAAAATAAATAATAAAAAAAACATCACATACATATACATGTTTACGTATAAATATGAGCGAACAAAAATAAATTCTATGAAAAAAATAACAAATCATTACGTATGTCGAATATAATTTTTCCTCCGTTCCCACCAAACATTTCCGTAAATCAGTTAATAAAACCTACGAATCGCAAACAAAAAAAGCCTATTAAAGCGCCTAACGCATTTATAATTTATCGAATTAACTATTATCACGAAATTCAGAACTATCGAAACATATCTCAGCCAGAAATTTCTTCTATGGCGAGTCAAGCATGGAAGCAAGAGCCTCCGTACGTCAAAGAAACATACTATAACTTTGCCAAACGGGCTCAAGAGATTTATTTGGCTCAAAATACTGAAAATCACGTAATTGTTGACACCAATCAACAAAATGGAATTATTGAAGAGATTAATCCTCTCATATCTGAAACCGTTGACGCGAAAGAGACGTCTTTCAATTCTAACTTTGATACCAATGTTAATTTCGAGTTCACTAATATGCAATACCGCATTATTACACTTGAGAACGAACTCATCTCAATGAACGCTAAGCTCTCTCATGTTATCACTCTTGAGAATGAAATATCTTCAATGAGACAGACTATATCAGAATTGAACGATAAACTTAGAGAATATTTACCTTTCTTTGACATTTAGTTATATAGTCTAAACATTAAATATTTTTGTATGGTAAAGACTCGGTTTGACTTGTTATTTTTTAGCATTATGTAAAATGAGAATTTTTGGATTGGGCAATACACATGTAATAATTTTATCTATTTACAACAATAAAGATAAATTAATCATGTTATTAATCTTCAAAAAAATTTAAATTCTATGTTTTAGCTTTGATTTGAAATATATTATCCAAGAAAATTAGGGAGACTAAAATAAATAAATTCACATCGAGAGAAATAAATCACAAAATTTAAAAATATATATTTATTACTTTTAGAAGATCAAAAAAACAAAAAAATTGATAACATCACCTACAACAAACAAATGTTCACAAAATAAAAATTATGAATATTAAACAACTTTCAAAAAACACAAGATATACGTACCTGAGCACACTACATATAGTACTCTCCATGGCGAATAAAATGTACGGTGCACGTGATAATAAACTAAGTCCATTAAAATATCTGATTAATATTAAATATCAAGTATTAGGGTTAGAATTAGAGCTTATATATAAAATTGTCTTTCTGTACCAGATTTGTTTTGTCGGGTTGATCAAAAATTTGCTACATTCAGATTGGTTGCGCAGAATTTTTACGCATTCTTATTGGTTGGATTAGTTCATCACCACGTGCACCATATCAGTTACACAAAAATTTGTCCCAATTGTATTGTCACGGGTTGATCATGATTAGGTGTAATCTACGACTTTACCTGCATCAGGAAATTTTTTGGGGTGATTTGTATCGATATTTATCATTAGTTATATATCGATATATATCCGAGTCGTCAATGCTAGTGTTCCTATGAACTGAACCGAACTGGACTTTTGCTCGAGTTCGAGTTTGGTTCGAAATTCGAATCGAACTCGAACCAGACTTTGGCTTGAGTTCAAGAAAGGTTCGAAGTTCGAACTGAACTCGAACCGAACTGTTATACGAGTTCGAGTCTGGTTCGAGTTCGATTAAAGATCGGCAT